CTTCTCTACAACTGCTGAGCCTCCCAACCCCCTCATACTTCAACTGCTGTAAGAACAAACATGAGATGAGGAAAATTGGTTTCAGATTTTTATTTCTCTGTACTTTTTAAGCAGGAGTGACTGAAATAGAAACCATCATGAGTCCCATCAGGGGGAATAGTTTGATAAAGACAGGGCAAGCAGTCACCCCTGCCCCATGCCAACCTGTACAAACATCAGCTGCCACTGTTTAGTAACTAGATGGTTTTCAAACAAGTCCATGAACAGTCATAGACTACATAGAACAACATGCCAGTTCACAACAGGAAACAACTTATGTATACTTCTTGATTTCATCATACAGGACTAAGACAAAAGCACCACCCATTCCTCGGAGAACGTTTGACCATGCACCTTTGAAAAAGGCCTTGGAGCCCTCATCCCGGGCAATCTTCCGCCAGCAGTCAACAGTGCCAGAGTACATTATGTCAGCTGCAGGAGACAGACAGCTTCAGGAACTGGGTGCCCACAACCCCCAACATCCAAGTCAGAAACAGCCTCGTGTATCTACTGGCTTTACAACCTTAAGTGCATCCCATTTCTTGGGTGACTTTCTCCAATAGCACATCAGAGAACGAGACTGCCCAGGAGAGATGGTGCTGCTGCTGCATTGTCTCTGGGAGACACTGCAAGGACCAGTTCAAGCAGAACACAGCAACTCCTTGCTTTGACAGCAACACTTCCAAACCCAAAAGCTATTGCACAGTTGGCCAGGCTGTGCCTGCTATGGAGGCTGTCTTTTCTTGTCCCAGAGACACTGGCTTGCAACATCCAAAGGTGAGTTCTGCTGTTCCTACCTACTGGCATATACCTGACTTGTGCATGCCACCTTACAGGTGTGCTGTATGACCCATTCATGCCCCTTCCTGTCACCTCCTTCTGCAGCCCTGCTTACCAGAGATGAGGATATCTACACAGGCTGATGTACGCCAAGCCATTCTGCCTTCCCTTCAGCTCCACCACCAGCTATGGACTCAGGGATGCCCAGTAACTCTTACACAGGAGGAGAAACTCACCTCCTTTCCGGCCAGACTGCATCATCATGCGACGACGAACCGTGTCAAACGGGTAGGAGACCAAACCGGCCACAGCGGTGACGGTCTGAGCAATCATCCAGCTGACAACAATGTGGGTGTTTTTTGGGTCTGGAAGCATGCCTGCAGGAGAGAGGCTTTGATGAGAACGGCAGGTAAGCCACCAGCACTACAGAAATGCACTTCAGGCCTGCCGCAGCCCAGCATCTCCGTTTTTGTGCCGTTTGGGTCAACCTACCCTTGGCGGTGTCGTAGATGCCGAAGTAGGCGGCTCTGTAGATGATGATGCCCTGGACAGAGACACTGAAGCCCTGGTACAGGCCCCGAAGGCCATCTGAGCGGAAGATTTTGACCAGGCAGTCACCGAGCCCACTGAACTCCCGGTCGGCCCCGGCTTTACCCACATCCGCTGCCAGGCGGGTTCGGGCAAAGTCAAGGGGGTACACGAAGCACAGGGAGGTGGCGCCGGCGGCACCCCCGGATGCCAGGTTACCGGCGAAGTACCGCCAGAACTGGGTTCGCTTGTCCACGCCGCCCAGGAAAATCTCCTTGTACTTATCCTTGAAAGCGAAGTTGAGGGCCTGGGTGGGGAAGTACCGGATCACATTGGCCAGGTTGCCGCGCCAAAAGGAGAGGATGCCCTGCTCGCGCGGGATGCGCACCACGCAGTCGATGATGCCCTTGTACTGCTTGTCGGCGGCGATCTGCTTGCTGGCGTGCTGCACCTGCAGGGGCCGAGACGCCGCCGTCAGCGCCGCTCCCCGCGAGCCCCCGGCCCACCGCCGCCCCCCCTCTCCTTGCGGCGACCTCGGCACGGCCCCGGCCGCCGGCGCTCACCTGCAGCAGCAGCTTGACCCTCTCGATGGGGGCGACGGCGGTCTTGGAGATGGCGGCCGCCACCCCGCCGGCGAGGAAATCCTTGGCGAAGGACACGGCCGCATCGGTCATGGCGGGAGCGGCGGGAGCGGGAGGCGATGCCGGGCGAAGGAGGCGGGAGGCGGCGCTGAGGGGGCGCCGCAATGGCCGTTAATATAGGGGCTGGGCGCGAGCGTGGGCGGGGCGCGCGTCCCGCTCGCCCATTGGCTGCGCCAGGGGGCGTGGCCGCCGCAGGGGGACGGGGCTGCCGTTGGAACTGGTCGGGGGCACATGGCCGCGGTGAGGGGAGCGGGAGCACGGGGAGCCCGGCATGGGGCACACCGGGACGGGGCACACCGGGACGGGACATCCCGGGACGGGACATCCCGGGACGGGACATCACGGGATGGAGCACGCCGCGACAGGACATCCCGGGATGGAGCACACCGGGACGAAACAGCCCGGGATGGAGCACACTGGGACGGGACATCCCCGGATGGGGCACACCGGGACGGGACATCCCGGGATGGAGGATGCCGGGATAAAGCACGCCGGGACGCGGCATCACGGCATGGAGGATCCCACCAGCACCGCGGGCAGGACACGGATGCGGCCCCGGCCCGGTCACACCGCCTGTCCCTATCCCTACCCCGGGCACAGCACAGAGCGGTGACGGGGCCATCCCAGTGCCATGGCGAGAGCAGCCGGGCTCAGCACAGCTGGAGCGGGGCGGGCTCTGGGGCTGCCTCATCCATGGACACGCTGAGGCCCCGCTGTCAGCCCTCGGGATGCTGCCACCCGCACACAGGGTGACAGTGACCGAGCTCCCTGTGCAGCCCTAGCGCCGAACTCAGCTGAGATGCTCGGCACAGCCCGGCGGTACCACCCGCCCCCAGCACACAGCGGCAGCCAAACCTCACTCCAGCACAACTTCACCTGTCCCAGAGTTTATCCCTGCTGTTGACTGGTTCTTCACGGTTATACACCATTGCACATGCTAGTGATCCACTGATGAAGGTGACAGTGACATCTTAAATGTTTTAGTGCTGCCTTTTGGGGATTTGTCACGTGTATTTGTGATTACAAAGGACAGGCTTGGCTGATAAAAGGTTAGTTAGTGCCTGATAGGTCGTAGGAGTGCACTACAATACAAAGGTGGTAGCAGCACATCAGAAACAAGTTAGAGATAACTTTTTGACTCACTTGACTCTTACAAGGTTTGAAGGGTTGATCAGACATTCATATGTACCCATTCAATATTTAAAATCTATTTAGAAATACAGTGTTAGTAAAAAACATACAGGTATGCTTGGACAAGGCAAGAAATCCTTTCCTCCCCAACATGCTTACAATTCCCACCTCCACATGCATACATGTCCAGTAAGTCTCAGTATTATTACCTGTACTGTGCCCACGGGAAAAGTGAGGCACAGGGAAATAAACATCATCACTAGGCAGGTTGATCAGAACCAAAAGCACTTACAGCCTCAGTGTGATGCATGAGCCACCAGATCTGCTCTCCACCATCCTAATGTTTTGCTTTCTATGCCTGCATTTCTTTGCTGAGAAAAAAAATCAGTATGAAGCACCAGTGCAGCAGAACAGACAAAGCCCATTAAGAGAGGCACTGCAAGACTTCAGCTGTAAGATACATCAACAATCAGTTCTAGGTGCAAGTCAGGCCTTAAGTTATCCCAAATCTTTCTGCAAGTTTCTCTCCACAGTTACAGACTGTTCCTGCATGGATTTGCCAATGCCTCATCCTGCTGTGACATGTTCTAACCAAGCACTTTCTGAGATTTATTTATTTTCACCCATCAGGGATTACAAACAGTGCAAAAACACAGCTGAGGAGCTGTGTAAAGCAGCAAAGGCTGTGCTGAGCCCAGGCTCAGTATGCACATACCTTTGGAGCTGCTGTGATTCCTGTGCTGCCAGGGGCACAGCCAGCTTCCCACATGGACACGGGGTTTGGGGTTTCTATCAGAAGGCACTGGGATGGGGCTGCTCCATAGCTGAACTTCTACACAGGAACTGGAGCAACACCATGGCTCCTCAGGTATCACACTAACATCAAAGGTGATCTTTAGTTGTCCAAAAGCTCCCAAGAGGCCCATCTGTGGCAGTGGCACTGGCAGTACCCTGGTGCTCTTGCAGAGGTTCCTAGCACAGGACCTGTGTGCAGCCCCTGGAGCACAGGGTTCAGGGGATCAGTCACAGCTGGTGTGCATGGTGCTATTCTCTGTGCAAGTTCAGGGCAGCATAGCAGGCTTAGGTCTGTGCACTGGAACTCAAAAGTGGTTTAATAAAAAAATAGAGCTTTAAAAGTAGATAAACAACATGACAGAGTTTGTGGCTCTGAAATATCTAACACATTTAAGAACTGCATTTTCAAGAAAATATTTCAGTTAGAGGACTTCAGGAAATTATTTTTCAAAGTGTGAAGTAATTCACATACATGCAGTAACAATGCACGAGAAAGGGAAGAATATTTTTGAGTATGCACTTGAGTTTGCAGGATTGTCATTCCAGTGTATTACAGTCCATTTTGCACATTACAGTTCTGTCTTAGCAAAAGCACAGTTGCAGCAGCATCTTTATGCTGGAGATTCAGACAAAAATATTATTCTCAAGTACATCTCAAAAACTAAGGAGTGGATTTGGGAGTGTGACTGAACTAATTCTGACTCTCTAGAATGCCATGTCCACACAGTATCACTAAGAAACATGGAGATTTCAGTAGAAATTCTTGCATGTTGCATGTATTTTATTCTGTTTTGTTATTTTTGGCTGACTTGGTATCTCAGATTGCTTTAAGAAAATCCATTTTCTCAATGCTTTTGGAGATAATTTATACTCCCATGTCTATTCTCTTGCCTTTCTGCACCTGGTTTAATCTCAAATGGCTATTCAGTTTTAAAAAGCACCTAAAACAATGCCATTTCAAGTTCAGTAGTACAGAGTTTTCAAACTAGTTGCATCTTTCCTCTTCAGTATGTGCTTGCCAGACATATTCTTTAAATCCATTCAGCAAATACAATACAGATTTATTTTTTCCTGTCATAGGTCCACTGAAATGTCAGTACCTGTAGCTCAGCATGTCTTTCTTGCAAAGGTGTTTCTGTATCTGCAGTGGACACTCTGATGTCAGTTTTCAAGTGCTGATTTCCTCGGCTCAAAATTTTCTCTTCGGAGGAGCTTTAATTCTCTCAGTTCTTGTGGGTGTAAGCTCTGGTCAACACCAGGTGTTAGCTTGTAATTTAAAGGAGATTGAATATAACCATTTCTGTAGAGACAAACCCGCTTGCAGAATTCAAAGGTGCTGAACATAACACCGAAGTATGGCACAATCTGAGAAAAAAACAATATAAGAAAAAAAATTAGACTCACTAGCAGCATCCATAGCTTAGATGTTTTAAAAAAAGGGAACTTCTAGTACTTCAGATCTGATCTAATAATAGACATTGTCCTCATTTATATAAAATCAGTCTCATCTCAAGCTATGCTGGCAGCTGCAATGTGCTAAAAGTAGGAGTTTATTGTTGTTACATAACTAATTATAGCAATATTGTGAGGAAGAAGGTCTATGCTACCCAAGAGATTACCAGAACTTGTCAAATATCCAAGTACATCCTAAACAATCTCAGCAAATCCTGGCAGGAAATGTGGACTTTATTCCACATACACTGGAGTGACTCCACAATTTTCTTCTTTTGCCCCATGCAGAACCAGCAGCTCCAGGGCCACTGGCTTTGTATCAGCCAAGGTAAGGCAGTCACAGGCAGGCTACCACAATCAATCCTACTGTCACTCAATTAGCACTCATTAGCTGACCTGTAGTACTCTATGTAGGTAATCCTCATCACAGCACTGTAAAACGTATTTATGTAAATTAAATTACCTACTGTTTAAGCTACCATGCTTTATTTCATGTTTTCAACTCAGCAAAGGCTGCAGTAACTGATACACATGCATTAAACAGCTGGCTGAAAGCACTGCTTTGGACTTCTGGCCAAGTGGCTTACACAAGCACACCTTTTTTACAGCTCACTACATGTCAATGACTGGAGCTCAGGTCAGAGGGAGACCTTGTTTAGCTGCCCTAAGTGGATTGCTTGCAATCCCCCATCCACTGCACACCTTGTGTGCTAGGAGCACCCCCTTCTTCAGAGATACTGAAATGAACTTTCAGGTGGTGACACCTAGAAGCCAAGCTTGGATTTGGGGAAATACAACCAAACCAAGTTCCAAAGCTGGTTTATAACCTGTCTTGTCACTGATTCTGTCATCTATAAGCTACTAAATACAAAGGTATGTCATAAGCTTTCTATCCCCAACTGCCCAAAACTGTCTTGATTCCCTCAGTATAGTATTTAACTGGGATGAAAGCAAAACCTCACCTTGAGCAGACTGGGTGTGAGTCCTCTCCAAAGTCCAAGCACACCTTTGTGCTTCACGGTCTGCCGGAAGCAGTCAGCCATGCCAGTGAAATGGACATCAACTCCTCCATAGTGGGGAAGCCAAGGGCTCTGGGCCTGTCAAGAGACACCAGAGGGGTTTAGAACAAGCAGAGAAAACCAAAGTAATTCATTATTTTCTCCATCCTGCTATATAAGGAAGAGTCAACACCAGGTTTCAACAGATAGATCTGGATTCGTCCCAAAAGTATCTAATTTGCATTAAAATTTAAATTAAAAAGGGAAAGAACTCACTCTATGATAGGTATGGAAGTGAATAGCAATTTCACACAGTGCCTCCTTTTGTACCATGTCACTACTGGAAATAAATCCCACCCTTTTGAGGACAAACCATCTGAACCAGAGGCACATATCCCATTGGCCCCATGCCAGCTGCTCAGGTCCAGGTAGAGACATTTCCCACTCCTGGCAGTGAAGCACCATGAGAGGGAAGGTTGGAGCCACACTGCCTTCCTGTAACTCAGATCAAACCAGCTGAGCTGTCTCTGGCTGCTGAGGCTGTTCTGCACTGTGACAAGCAGGAGCTACAGGCTGAGGAGCAGCAGCCCAGCAGAAATGGAATTTCTGGAGATTTCATCCAGGCTGTTTGGGCCCTCCAGGGGCTGCAGGGGAGCAGTTGGTGCCCCTGCTCCCACATCCATGTGCTCAGCTGATAAGGACTAGCTAAAGTTACCTGGGGAGAATCCCATGGGCTGGCAGCTGAACTTCCAACTGCAGTACAGTGTCTGTTCACATGGAACAAGTGTAGTTGGTCATTTTTAACAGCTAAATCCTTTCTTCATTAATCTCCTACTGCGTTAGCACAGACAGGATAACCTGACCTTGAATAATCCCATCCTCATCCATCTGTGCACATGCAGCCATGGATTTATTTTGCATTGACAAATCAGGGTTTCAATCAAGCACATGGCAAGTGACACTTAAGTGTCAGAGGCCCCAGGACACAGACTGATGCATTGCAAACTGATCATCCAAAGGTAGAAGTTTGATAAAACTGGGCTTGTACAGTTAATTGATGGATGGATATGGGCATCATGACCCCCACAATGATCTGAAACACCACATAGTGCAGGGATTTTTCACTCCTTCTCTAGACTAGCCTGTAGCTCCTAAGAGTTGCTAAGCCTATGACAAGCCTCATCAACTGACAAGTGATGGTGAGATTTTCTAGGTGCCTTAGCTATAGCATTTCAAGTACTTGGCAAGTGAGATGCTGGAAAGGCAAACAGATCAAAACTCACACTCTACACACATAAGAGAAATTGTTAATCAAATAGTTATGGTCAAATCTACTGTTAAAATTTAAAGGCTGAAAAAAACCCCTGATAATCCCCCCACAAAGGGCACGTCTTCTTTGTCTAAAAAAGCCACAGATTATAATTTTTTTCTCTTTTTTTTCCTGCCTGATTGAAATGCATGTGAAATACCTCTTATGGCAGGTAACAGGTAAAAACCTTCTGCACAAAGACTTTAATATCTGTACTGCAGAAGGTGCTGAGTGCTCAAACTGAGACTCCAGGAACCAGTTCCATAAGAATGGTGATATTAGCACCAGCAATGCTTAGAAGAAAACTGAAATGATTAAAGTACCCTAAAAATGCAACGGCAGTCATAGGAGAACTGGATTCAAAACCCTGTTCTGCTTTCTGGACTGTCAGTTTCCACAAGTTTTTTTTTTTTTTTTTTGTAAATGAAGTTATGAGCAGCCAAGCAGAAACGAAAGACAGGTTTCTAAAATGTTTCCAGAACACAAGAATGCCATTAACATGTGATTCTCTTCCTTTTTCAGTCCCTTTGTGGTAGGCAGGGCATGGCCTGCCAGAATTTAATTGTGTGAGTTTGACTTAATTCCCTTCATTACTGCAAAGGCACAGATCAAAGGGTTGATTACAGGACTCCTGCCGGCAACACCAAAAGAAGTGACAAGCACAGTGCAGGTTTCAGTAACAGTAAACACCTCCAGAAGGCAGTTTAAAAGAAACAGGTAAGTCAAGCCCCTAGATTTCCCATAGACACTGACCTTTTAAGAGATTTACTGAAATTATTTATAGTACCATTCCCCATAGATAAAGTTGTTTCTAAGATTTCAGTCTGTGGAGTAAAGTATGTGCTGCCAGCCTTTCTGCTTTACAGGAGCTGTATGCTTCTAGGACCCTACACACAGTAATTAAATAACAATTGTTCACAGAATCTCAGAATCACCTCCTGCAAGCGGAAAACTAAAAACTGTATCAGTGTTGTAGTTAAAATTTCAGTATTTTGGAACATAGCTAAATGAAGTTAAAATGCATTAATAAAAGAATAATGCGGCAAATGTGTTTCACTTGGCACTGTTGTTCATGAAAAAGAGTAGGTGAGGGTTTTGGTGGTTCATCTAAGCATGTCTGCCACACTGCAACCCTCACAGCCACCCTACGGCACCAGAGCCAGAAAGTGGAAGGAACAAAACAGACCAAACTGGTTTTTCCAACTCTTTTGCAGAAACCTAGCATGACATACAAATCAAACAGCTAATCTCATCCCCAAAAGGTCAGATTTGTGACAGAGAATTCAATGCACCTCAAAGCAGCTGGAATTCCTTGCTTTTGACACCCCTTGACACTAAGGTTTCCATACAGCAACCCATTCTCTTTTGAAGACTTCCTTCCTCCCAGCTGCAGCTGTCTCAAACTGCAGAGGGCTGGGACACAGCTCCCTGTGCTGGTAACAGGGAGCCAAGGGGTTACTCACAGTAGGAGCAGGGCTAAGTTGCTTCTCTTTTCACCTCTGATGGACAGTGGGCTCTCTAAATGATTAAATCACATCAAATGCAGAATTGCCTCCACCTGATCTCTCTCACAAACACAATATTTTTACATCCAGAGCCCACCAAGTTGATTATGTCACTGCGACACTTCCACTGTTCTACTGCAACAACCAAGAGAGACATGTACAAAACCCAAGAGAGACATGTACAAAAAATGCCCAATTACCTGCACACAATATTCTTTTAAAAGAAACAAAATATTTAAATAAGGGTGCAGTGTCATGACTGCAGGTGAATTGTTAGAGGTAATTGTTATCTGAAGACTCTTCAGACACCATCTCTCCCATTGTCTGCATTATGAGGTGACTGCCAGAATAACATAACTCCATTTTGGGAACTGATCTCACAGATCTTTTCAATGACCTCCCTCAGCCCCTCTCCAGTGCAGATAAAAACTTTTCACTTGCTTTTTGGGACATTTTGGTTTGCAATTATTTGTATTCACATGTATCAGAGTCTATGAATTCACATATTTGATTCATGTACTTCCCCCCTTTTCTTTGTTAATAAAGTTTGTTGGAATATATTTACCTTTACATATATTACTTTACATATATACATGTATTTTTATATATATATATATATATTACTATATATATATTAATATATATATATATATATACACACACCTTTACATATTTTACTTTACATATATTTGCTATTTATTTTTGAGTAGGCATTACTTTTGGCACAGAGCATGGAAGATAACTAACAGTGAATAGCTGTCATCAGTGGTGTGCTACCCTGATGGTGGATAGAGTACAACTGCTTGGTATTTACATATTTTCAGCAGATTCAGGTGTCCTACATTTCTGATTGCTTAAAAAAAGTACAGAAAGACAATTTACACACAGCTCAAGAGTTCACACTCTTAATCTGGAAGCTAAAAAAAGAAATCTTTGCAGTCTGGGTTAATAAGGGCACATGCAACAGGCAAGTGCAGCTGTAGTTCAAAGGAAACTGAAGGTCAAGGATTCAAGTTAATACCACTCCAGTCCACAGAAATTTCACTCAAGTGAAGACTGGATGCTTGAAATGTAGTGGATTTCATTCCACTACAATGAAAAAAAATAAAGTGTAAATATGTGTTAATATTTCAAGGGAAAAGGCATCCTCTTGGGCTTAATCAATTCTTCCTCCTAAAGGTCAGCCTTACTCAGCAGTCATTCCCTGTCAGTGCTTTAGTAATGCTGACTTACCCCTGCTTAAAGTCCACCCAAAGGTATTCAGGCACAGAGGAAGGTAAACCATGGCAAGCTATCAGGAAATCAGAACAGCAGAGCACAGCTGACCTCCAGTGTCCTGCACTCCAGGAACACCTTGTCCTTTCCTCTGTAACCTGAACTGGGAACAAAGCATGCCTTTCTGGGAAGAGTGGCACCCAGTCAGCAAAACAGCTTCATGCTTGCTCAAAAGCTTGACTCTTTGCTTTAACTATATATCACTAGGCCTGTTGTACCCTGAGGCTCCACAGTTTGTTGCAGAATTCCTCCTTTGCTGCTGAGCCTAAACTTCCTCTGCTTTAACACCTGCTGTGTGAAGAATTCTTTATACAGAATATATAAGTCTTGTTCCTCAAGGCAGTGCAAACCCCTTGCATGAGCAGCTTCCAAATGCCTCACGATGGTTCAGCTCAAGCCCTACAAATGGGTGCATCATTTTCATGCACATTAACACTGATTTATTTAATGGTGCAAACCCCTAGGCAGACTGGCTTGGTCCCACACTTCACACAGTGGATGGCAATGCTAGCTCCTGCATCTCCTGCTGCCCTAGGAACTGAGGAGAAAACTAATTTTTAACAGGACTGGGGCTTTTCATAGGTCATACTTTCATTTGCCTTATGTGGATGAAGTAAGGATTTACACAAAATCAAAACAAATCACCTATAAAAGAATCACAGAATGAACTAGGTTGGAAAAGACCTATTGAGATCATCAAGTCCGACCTATGATCAAACACCTCCTCATCAACTGAACCATGGCACCAAGTGCCAAGTCCAGTCTTTTTTTAAACATATCCAGGGACAGTGACTCCACCACCTCTCTGGGCAGATGATTCCATTGCCCAATCACTCTTTCAGTGATGAATTTTTTCTGACATCTAGCCTAAATTTCCCATGCAGAGGGGAAAGTTTAACTCAGTCTTAAGACTGTGTCCTGTCATTGTCAGTTGTTGCCTGTGGGAAGAGACCAACCCCCATCTGACTACAATCACTTTCAGGGAGTTGTAGAGACTGACAAGGTCACCTCAGAGTATCTTTTTTCCAGGCTGAACACCCCCAGCTCCCTTAGTTGTTCCTAATAGCTGTACCTCCAGAGACATCATTGCATTAAGGTTCTGTCTGCAATAGCTGTGTGTGAGCAGCAGCAAACCCAGCCTGTGTCAGGTCCCGTCTGCTGGGAGAGCTTATGGAGTTTCAAAAGGTGGGCTGAGTTAACCCATCTGATCTGCTCCAAGCAGATTAAAGAGCTCTCACTCACACCACACTGATGACAAAGCTGAGGCACTGTAAGGGGCTGGCAGACATGATCAGCTGGCACTATCAAACCTGTTTGGGGGCATGGTGGCCACTTTAGTGTCTGGGGAGACCATTTGGAGAGAATTGCATTCTGCCATCCCTCAGACTTCTGCACTTCAAACAGATGCAATGTGTTCTGCTTTTCTTCAGCGGGCCACTGTGCTGCAGTGCAAAGCTAATCTACCTCAAGGTATTACACAATTATCAGACCACAGCTTCTTGCATGGACAGGTTTAGTCAAGGCAGATCTCACAGTTAAAGCAGCCCAGTCCTGCTTCCAATTATTGATCTACAATTTCTTCCTCTTATCCAGTTTTCCTACTAACACTGTTCAGTGTTCCAACTTGACAGACAGTCAGTCCTCATGGTTTTCTCCTGTGGAAGTCTGGGGATCCAAGAAAAATACTTCTGAGATTCAGATTCATAAAAGCTGATCTAGGCTGTTCCAGAAGGCAAAGTCTACATTATGCTCCATAACCTTTTTCAGGCATTGTCTCAACCATTTGCCAGACCAAATACTTCCCTAAGCAGCAGAGCAGCATTCTGCAAAAACTTCAGAAAGTGGTATAAAATATCTTTGTAACAACATCAATGAAACAATTGCAGGTAGCTCAAAGTATTCAGATATAGTAAAAAAGGAAAGAAGGGATTTTGTAGAAATATTACCAGTGCTTTCTTAGACCCAGACTCATTCAAAATAAAATTTCCCTGCTAAAGGCAGAAAAAAACCCCTAAAAAACTGAAAAAGAAAAAAGTGTTCTTGTACGCAAGTCTGCAAGGTAAAAAGGGCAGTACTTGAATATGGCTTAGAAAATGGATTTAACAAATAACCCTATATTGTGAGGTAAGGAAGGAAAGCCAAGAATAACAGTCAGAATGATGTAAAGATCAGTTAGATTTTGTTCAGAAACTGAAACACCATAAAAGTAAGTCAGGAAAACACTTACTATAGAGCACAACCCTCTCTTTCATTAATCCCCTCCTACAGATGCACAACAAAAGCCACATTTCCATGCTGAAACATGCATACAGTACCTCTGAATTCTCTAACATGCCAATCAGGAGCAAAGTGAAAAAGGGAAGACAAAGGAATAAAATTAGGACAAGCACAATATAGAGGACTCAAATATTCAGTAAGACTCACTCATGTTAATTAACATTTCCTTTAAGAAAAACATTCAAGTATATATAGCAAACAGAGCATATTTTTTTAAAAAATAAACTCGATAACAGCAAAGGTGGAAGAAGCCATGGTTACAGAACAAACCTGACATCATAAAGCATCACCAAAACACAATTCCTCCTCAGAAGAGCTGAGGAAGCAGGAGCTGCTGTCAGCTCCTACTCCCACAGCTGCCAGTGACAGAAGCAGCCAACGTCAGAAGTGTAGGATTCAGATATGTAAAGTAAGAAAGGAGGAATCAAAATTATTACAATGGAGATCAAAAATAGCACTTTATCCTTATGAATTCTCCCATAGCAGAATTCATTTCCTGGTCTATGCAAACAAGTCAAGCATTGTCCAGATGAGGAGATGAATGGAGCTAACTCTCCTAAGACTGCCTAGCACATCAGGTAAAGATCTGAATGGGATGTCCTGGTCTCCTGCTTGTACTCTACCCCAGAATCAATGGAGAAAACCTTCTGTCCTAGTTTCTCAGTTTTTGAAGCTCCTGAGATTGTCTTACAACTCCCTGGCTCCCCATCACCAGCAGCTTCACTGGAAAAATCTTCTTTAGCAACATAGTCCCTCCATTTGTCAGAATGGTGGAACAAAAGGGAGGGAAAACGAATCTGACACTGACTTCCACAGTGTGCTGGGTTCCTCTTCGTACACCATAAACCCAGCATTCACTGCTTCAAAAGAAGCCCAGCACTCCTCCATGTGGACTGCAGAGTACACACAAGGCTCAGAGGTAGCTGAAGGCTTTGGCAGCCCCCTCTTCCTATCAGCCAGAAAGCTGAATCACTAAATAGAGGCTGCTCAGAATAAGATGTCTGAGAAAAACTGATCAGAAGTATCTGCTCCCCCATTTTCTACAGAACTCTGAAATGCCTTGATGTTTTTCCTTTTCTTTATTCTCTCCTTTTTAGGAGAGAATAAAAGGTCCATCCCTTTTCATGATACTTTTCCTGGTGCTGCACTAGGCATTTCTCTCTTCTGACCAGCACCCTGCAAACTGCACAGACAAGCAAGCACAAAGCAGAGCTGATCTCTGCAAAGCTGGGCCATACCCTGGTGCTAATTGGAAAACTCAAACTTCTTGGATAACCTTGCAGGAGCTCCAGTGCACTCTTGGTAACAACGTGGGTTGCAATTTCCAACAACAGGTCTCTTTTCTGGACAACCCTACATGAATTAAGTAATTTCCAGTACCCAAAAAATTACAGGATTTCACACCTAGGGAGCTTGCTCTTTTGAAATATCTTTGCCTTCTCCCATGCCTTCAGAATAAATCACAGGAGGTGTTTCTCCAAGCTCAGAAAATCACTATTCAGAGCTGCAATGTACTTATGAGGAAGAACCCTCTCTGTTGATGAGCGTTTTGTTTTCACACAAAGTATTTTTAACCTCTCCAAGTCCTACGTATTTAGGCAACAAATCCAGTTCCCCTACTGCTGGAAGTGCCGAGCAGATGATGAAGCTCCCCTCGGTGGAAGAGCACGGCCTGGTGGCAGGAAAATGAAACGCGGGCCTGTCCCACTTCTTCACATGCCTGTCACGACACAGCCCGACACAACACATTGCACCAGCTACAGCCAAAACCTACTTTTGAACTGATTACAAAAGCTGTTGCATCGACAGAAAATATTAAAAGGGAAACAGCACAGTAAATGCCTTTATTTTCTTTTATTCTTCAGGGCAACAATATTGCTGTGAGCCTAAGGATATAAAGTAAAAGAAGGCTTGTAAGGAGTATTTGCTTTTCTTAGATCCACTGGTATAGCTGGAAAAAACAAGCAAGTTTTCACGCTCAGAATATTTCTGAAATATTTTATAAGATACCTGATGAATGTGCTCAGTTTAAACTAGACTTCTGGACACATCAGCTATGAGCTGGTCTCATAAAAGCCTGCTACAGGATGGAGAGAGGGCAGTGAAGGTTTCTGTGACAGCATCTGCACCTTGAAAAGGGGAACTCGGGCAGCAGGAGAGGGAAATGCAGAGTTTCACTGACTTTTTGCTACCTTGTGACTTGCCAACCAGGCTACCACATGATGAAGGGGGCAAGCACCTACATAAGGCTGCCACAGTTAGTGACTGTTTTTCTAATAAGATCACAAAAGCCTCCCATAAATCTGCATTCCCAGGAATTAGGCTGAAAACCCAAACTTTTATGCCCCTGCCAGAGAATGACCATATGATGAAAGCTATTCACCGTCTCTCTACTGGTGAAGTTCTAATGAAAAGTCAACATCAGCAACTGAATTATATCAGTGAGATGGAAGCTGTGGGATAATGGTAGTTTTGTGGGGTTTTCTTATATCACTATTGTTAAAGTTCAGAAGAAAAGATCAGGAAGATATAGTAACTGTTGTTTTGCTGATGCTCCAGGAAAACAGCAGCACCTGCAGCCGGTAAGTCACTTGTTAACCAGAAGAGCCAGAAATAAGAACAAGGATAATGATCCTTCAGACTTTATACTGAGCAAGTTTGTTTTGTGGTGAGGCATAAATGGCAGACACACATGCTCTGAAAATCACATGGACCTCATTCATCCTGCCTACCACCAAGGGGACTGAATTTCTCCAGCTGGCAAACTTTCACCTTGTATTTCACTGAAGGTTTGCCAATTCTGAATTTTGAGAATTTGATGGAACTGCTATGGAAAAGGAAAGAAATAAAGCTACAGAGATGGAGTCTGAGAGCATACACATATCCCATGATAATACCTGAACTCCCATTAAAGGTATAACAGCCCATTTGTAGCAATGATTTCCAGAGCTTAAAAACAAAACAACAAACAAAAACTCACTAATGAGCAAAAAACCCAACAAAACCCAAACCAAAGTCTCTGTAGCCTACTGGTAAGGGAAATAAAGTGGCACCCATGATCACCTGGCTAGTCTTGTCCCAAGCTCTTGCACCAAGCACCTACAACAAAGAACTGGTAATGTGAATGTTCTGTACCTGCATCTTCCTCTTGACCGTTTCAAAGGGGAAAGAAAGTGTCTGTGCCACAGCAGCTGCCACACAGCCATTTACAAAGTTCTGAAGAGGAGTGAAACGAACTATGGGCTCTTGCCAGATTGTGTCCAGATTGATGTAAACAAAGAATGAGCCTGCAGAAAATGGAACAGCACCTAGGAAGCAAACCAGACAGGATTATATCAACACACTGTACACTAAGAGAGGAGAGCTGCCCATCACATAACTAGAAAGATGGGAGGAGCTGCTGCCAGTTTACAGCTCACATTCCACAAACCCAATCCAGATTTTGATGAACTTTACTCTTTAGTCCCTGGTTTACCACCAAACACCCATATTGTACCATCTCATGACAGGTCAGGTGTTTCTCCAGGTCCTCTCCTGTGACAAGCTCTTTTCCAGTCCAACCCAACCCTAGTATTTGCACAGGTAAACAGAGTTATGTCTTCAGTCAGGCTGATGAGGGATACTTCTGGCCTCTTTGGCTTGTTTCATGCTCTCATCAGTTTTATAGTGGGATTATACATTTATTATTATTGTTATTACACATTTTATATAATGTCGTATTGTGAAAACGAGGACTCAGTTAAATGGCATTTTTAAAGGCTATGCAGAGTAAATAGATAATTAAAAATTAATTTCAAGTAAAGAGAGAATATAATTAATCTTCATCATTCACACCTACTATACACTACAGCTCCCACTGGTTTCACTGAACAGCTCAGGAGACACTCTCACACTCAACAGGAATTACAAGCACTCTGTGTGTGTGTGTGCGTATAAAAGTGTTTTAAGAGTTTAATGGTGAAAATTGTGCATCCAAACACAATGAGATAACCTATAAAAGAAGGAAAAGAGTACTTTGCTGAGCACTTAGCCATATATAAAACGCTACACACTTGGTCCTAATTTGAAATAATAAAGCTGCTGCAAAGGTCATCAGTGTTGCAGTGCCTTGCAAATCTCCACATCTTCTAAAAGAAAACATTCCTATCTGCTTTTGAAATCAAGTGAGCAAGTGAACACACTGCACAGCTGCAGTGAGGTATTTCACCCCAGGGTTGTTTTACCTAATATTGCTGGTGAGACACCCCGGTAGAGTGCACGGAGCCCCTCCTGGTGATAGATCTGGTAGAAGGCGTGGAGAATCCCTTGGTAGGACGGCTCCAGGCGGTTCTGCACGATGAGCCGCGTTTTCACCACGTCGCTGGGGTGCGTCACGGTGGTGGCCACCATCCCAGCCAGGCTGCCTGCCATGATGGCTCTCCAGTGGGAAATGTGACCCAGCTCATCCATGGAAAGGGTAACAAGTCTAAAGCAAACACATAAAGGAAGTACTGTTAATGACACTATGAAGAAAACACATGAAAAATTAAGGCAGATGGTTCTTGATGCAAATGTTCCTCTGTCCACAAGCCACTTCAGCAGCAGGAATTGAAATTTTGGCCTGTGATTCATCCAAGATCTTATTACATGTAACACCACACAAGCATCCACCTACAGGCTGAAAATCTTTCATTTGTATTTCCACATACAGGATGAAAATTACCATGATTCAAAACACATCTGCAAGAAATTATCTGATCATCAGTTAAAGACATTGGTCCAACCTGTCAGTTAAGGTTATCATGTAAGAGGAAATACATAGATAATGACATCACAGGCCTTCTGAGAGCAACTGAACCTTCTTCTGTTACTTATCTTGGGACAGGGAGGTTCCCAGGGACACACCTCTAGAGAAGACTTTTGTCCAGGCACTATTATGCTCAGGAGTTTAAGTCTCAATTTGAAAATTTGAAATTGAAGCACAGTTTTAAAAGCTACATACAAGTCATACATTTGTGGTGCATTGAAGGACTTTTCTAGGACAGGAAACTCCTACATCAGGGAGTAATGTCCTGGAGGCAGCAAGAAGCAAGTAAAAACACTTCAGAGTTTTAGCTGGAGGTAAAGAAATGCATTATTCTATTTTGGTAGCATTAACTGAAACATCTAAACATCTACATTTAACCTGCATGGTGTAAAACAAAATAATGTACAAATATTTACAAGTCACTGCTCGCTCAGTCAATGTTTTTTCATTTGAATGTGCATTTTCTACTGCATGACAAATCCCTGCATCTACTTGTCTCGAGCCCTGGGAGTGCCCAGGGCAGAAAGCCCAGCCAAGCAGAAGTAAATGGGCATAAACCTTTCTTCCTGTGTGTCTTATGCAGTTCCTAAACCCACACGGCCTAATTTTCCTGCGTGTGGACAAACGCTTGGGGAAGGTGGTGGGGTGTCTCCAGGCACATTTTATATATGTATTTTATCACATACCTGATAACATTTACAACTGCCATGGAAAGACAAGAGTGTGTGCAGAGTAATTGCTGAGGGAGCTGGCTGTGCTCAGTCCTGCTCCTCCTGGGACTGTTCACCTAAGCTGCCCTCTAACATTTCTCTTTCTGTGTTACTTGCCTTTATGTACACCATTCTCCCAGTAGAAAAGACTTTCCCAAGCCCCCAAATGGTGTATCAAGGACTAAGCATAGGCACCTTGTATTTAATTTCCTGACAGCCTACTTCCACCCTTAATTCAGAACACCCTGTACAAACTAGACACAAACTTTAGCCTTGCTAAAGGAATACACTGTTTCAAGCTGAACAATGAAGTTATTTTGCTCAAAATCAACTGCTGTATGTTGGTGCAACACACTGCCTTTTCTGTGACCTTAAAATTACATTTAAATTACTGTTTGTACCTTCCCACTCATATTATCTTGCTCTTTGTTTGACCACTGCATCTATTATGGCACAAAAAAGCTGCCCAGTTTTAGGGTCACTTCATTTGTGGTCTCCTGAAGGGCTTAGGCAGTCATGGGCAGATGACTTGCTGGGACAGATGAGTGACAAACCCAGCAGGTTGGCAGCACCAGCTGGGCTGTGCTGCTGCCCAGAACAGAACAACTCAGCACCCAGCTGGGTGCAAATGTCATGTGCTACCATGAACAGCTGACTGCAATAAAAAAAAAAAAAATTAAAAAAAAAAAGAAGCCCAGCCCCCAGAGTGGCAAAACATTCTGGTGTGTGCAAACAGTCAGGCACTCCCTGCAAGGCTGAGAGATACTGGCAGTGGAAGAGAATCCTAGGAAACAGCACGGCTGGCACAACTCCATCAGCACTGCTCCATGTTCATCTGCTACAGTCCTATCAGCACTCAGTTTAATATCTGTGTATTATCAAAAACAAGGTCTTAAAGCAAACAATGTCACATATCAACGTCAAAACCAATCAAATTTGCTTAACAACTCCTGCGTGATAGGGTAAAAATATCTGACTTGTGATGTTGTTATTTTCTTTGATACAGACAACATAAATACTTGAGAGTGTACAAATTAATTAAACAAATTGGTTGCAAAGAACAGATGTGACAGCCACACCTGCAGGCTGCACTGTAACTTTATTTCTAAATGAACCGGAGCAAAAGAATTTTAAGAGACCATCAACCCTTCCTCATGTGAAGAATACCTATGATTATAGAGGCAATTGCTGGCATATCACCAGGCCCTAACAATCGCTAGGCGTTGAACAAATTAGATAAATAAAATTCCAAGCGAGGGTCCGGATCTTTGGGCAGAAGGGGCGCACACCCGGCAGAGGCACACATCAGACTAAACCCGGCACTCTCCATCCCTCCCTCCCCCGCTGTTCCGAAGTCCGGCGGGGAGCGCAGGTCCCGGAGCCCCCGGATCCCCGAGCCCCGCGCGGGCCGGTCGCTTACCGGCGGGAGGCGGCGAGCTGCAGGGCGCTGTAGGGGCAGAGGCGCAGGCAGGCCGTCAGATTCCCCTTCCAGAGGGCCCGCACGCCCTCGGTGCGGCACAGGCTGCGCCCGGCGTCGCGCAGCCCCCGCCGGCAGTGCCAGGTGCCCACCTGCGCCAGCACCGTCAGCAGCTCCAGCGGCGCCGTCAGGCTGAGGCTGAGCGCGCCCGCCAGCCCGGCGCAGCCCAGGCGCTGCAGGGCGGTGAGGCGGCCGTCCCGGCGCAGGGTGGCCATGGCCCCGCCGGAGCGGAGCCGAGCGGAGCCAAGCGGAGCGGAGCGCACGGAGCGGCCCGGCCCGGCCCGGCCCGGCGCGGCCCCAGCGGCCACAGCCACAGCGGGGCGGCGCCGCCCGCCTCCGCCGCCGGGGGGCGCTGTGGCGCGGGGCTCCGCGCGGCCCGGGCCGCGCTGCGGAGGCGGAGGGAAAACCCGGAGCGGAACGGAACGGCCGGAGCGGAGCGGCGCTGGCCGCGGGTGAGCCCGGACGGTGCCCCTGGCCCTGCTCGCACCTGAATTCAGGGATTATTACATTATTGACATTTATGTCGCTGGAAAAAAGCGCCCTCGCAACAGTGACCCAGCTACACTCAGGACACACCCCTTTCTCCTTACAATTATTGTTTCCACAGGGAGCGAATGCATACATTTCTCTTTACAATTAAATGTGTTTCCAAGGGAGCGAATGAGGCAACGGCACGACTACACAAAAACACCGAGTTCTCCTCCTGAAGCACTCTGTGTTGATGCTGGAACTGAGTGACTGAGTGATCATCATTAATAAGATTTACGAGGTCAATTAGTTCAGGTTTTCTTGACGTGTTGCCTGAGGAAAAAAAAGGTACAGGGAGGGGAGAGACCAAAGTGGAAAGGAGAAACAAGCTGAGACCAGAGTCTGTGGGGGAGGAGATAACAGCCAGGACAGAGGTGTAGCAGAGATTTGCTCTGAAACAGGATGTTCTGTTTCTTGTAGCAAAAATCCCCAAACAAACAAAACAAAATAAAAACCCTCCCTTCCCCCCCAAAAAACCCCAAAAAACCTCAAACCAACAAAAACAACCAACTGAAAAATTCCAGCCAAACTGAAAGCTATGTTCAGTATCTTCTTACAGTGCAGCCAACAGAACAGTGTCAGATGACTCAGTCTGCATTCTCTGGCAAGAATGCTCTGCTGCTGATCCAATGGACTATTCCTAGATCAATAAAAGAGCTAAAAGAGAGCTCTCTAGAATTGCATCTCTTTCCAGGAACTCAGCTACTTATGGTATTTTATTTTCTTGGTGAGAAGAAAGCATTTAACCATTAAGGAGGAGAAAATCAACAATAAATGGGTATAACTTCCTATACATGATTAGAGCTTGGAAACAGAAGATTTCAAACATTACTTCAAGACTTCAAAGAAAAGTGTGATATTTCTTCCAGGGTTTTTCTTTTGTTGCTCATCTGCACAAGACAAACCTCAACTTAAGATTCTTACTGAGCACCGGTATTTTCCATACAGTCTTCCCATTTCCATTACTCATTTTGGGGCAAGTTTTTCCATACTTGTTCTGGCTGCTAAAATGAGTCACCAGTTGACCTCAGCCTCCTGCAGCAATCCTTGGAGAAGGAGGTGATTGGTGTGAGTCTGTTGGGTTTTTTTCTCCTTAGTAAAGGGACCTGCCAAAATAAAACCAGTCATATACTAAAAAATTGGGTATGTTCAAGGTCAGGTTGGATAGATCCTGGCTGCTGTGGCGCTCTGGCCGGGGCTGGGTCCACACTTGCCCGGGGTCCAGAATGACCAAGGAAGCGGGGACGGTGCCATCAGCAGCACATTGGGAGCGCTGCACCATTGGGAGCCGATAGCCGCACCATGCAGAGACAGGACAGCGCTTTCCCACCGGGAAAACACCAACAAGCCAGTGTAAACCAGGGAAAGGCTGGCATAAACCCTCACAGATCTACTATTGGTGAGCAGTGGTGGATGAACTATCTTTGCTCCAGGACAAAGGAAAACACGGCGTCGCACCACAACCAAGCCTTTGCTCTGCCTGAGCGAGGCAGCTCCGAGGAGTAACTTCTGTTTGGCTTAATTTGAATACAATGCACACACACGATGCCCACAGGCCGAAGATGCCGGCAGCAGGCGGCTGCAGCCGGGGCCGGGAGGTCAGGGGCGAGGGGCCGGGCAGGAGAAGCAGCCCCTGGCACCTCCTGGGCCTCGCTTCGTGAAGATCACCCTGAAACCGCCCGGAGCGCCCGGCGGGCGGGCAGGGGCCGCGCTGCGGAGCGGGCGGAGCGGAGCGGAGGAGCCGCGCCCCGGGGCGGGCCCGTGGGCGAGCCGCGCTCCGCCCCGGGTGGCGGCCGCAGGGCTGGCGGTGCCGCGGCGGCCGGAGGGTAAGGGCGGCCGGCCCGGGGAGCGGGAGCGGGGCGCTGCCGGCGGAGGGCGCTCCGGGCCCGGGTGGGGCGAGCCGGGCCGCGGGGCTCGCTCCGCCAGGGAAAGTTGTCGCGGCTGCTGGGGCGGTTCCCGGCGGCTCCGCTGGGGCTGCCCGGAGCCCGCGGGCCTGCTGGGACGGGCGGGCCGAGCCCCGCTCCGCTCCGCTCCGCTCCGCTCCGGTGCTGGGGGGGAGGCGGCGAGCTGAGCCGGGAGAGCCCGGCCCGTGCGGAGGGCGCGGCGGGCCTGGGCCAGGGGGTTCCTGGGGCGGGGGCTGCACGGCCCGGCACAGCACGGCCCGGCACAGCACGGCCCGGCCCGGCCCGACTCGGCTGCTGCGGCGCTCGGGCAGCCCGAGCTGGCTCCGCACCTGCCCGGGGCTCGCAGCCGGGGCGGGGCAGCGGGACTCCCGGGCCGCGGCTGCCGCTGAAGCCGCCGAGGGCTGGGCCCTGCCCGCCGGGTGCTGTCGGCCGGCGCTGCCGGAGCTCGGGGACCGCGGCCTTCAGTGGCTCCATGCATTGGGCTGGGGGTTTGTGTTATCGTCGCCTCAGCGGCGCTGGGAGGGTTCGCTTCAAAACGCTCCTTTATTGCAATGTTCGTGAGAGCAGCGGCACTTCTGATCATCGCTCCTTTTCACTTAATTTTGCATAGAGCGGGCTGGATAAACTCATTTGTTAAAAATCAATTTCAAGCTCTTTAGACTTCTCCAAGAGAGTTTCTGGTAAGTGCTTGTCATAGAATCACTAGGGTTGGAAAAGCCCTCTAAGATCACAGAGTCTAACCAGTAACACTCACTGTGTTTACTGCTAAAGGATACCCCCAAGTGCCATAGCCGCAAGCCATTTGTAGGCTTCCAGGGATGGTGTTGACAGCCTCTTCCAGTGCCCGATCACCATTTCAGTGGAAAAGTTTTTCCTAATATCCAATCTAAACCTCCTCTGATGTAATGTGAGGCCATTTCCTCTCACATTACTTGAGAGAGGTGACCAACCCCCACCTGGATCCAGCCTCCTTTCAGGTGGTTGTACAGAGCCATAAGGTCCCCCTGAGCCTCTTTTTCTCCAGGCTAAACAACTCCAGCTTTTTTTCTCTGCATGATGAACTCTGCTGCTGGGGATCAATGTATACAGATGCTACATTGCATTAGCTTATAGTGCTCCTACATACTCACCTCTGCAGAATTAAAATATTACCTCTGCTGGTGAGACTGCTCAGGGCCTACACTGTCTGCGAGAACATGAAAAGTAACCTAGGAAAATATGATTTTTTTTTTTCTCTTTAAGATAACCCTTTATCCTGACCTGGTTGATGGTATGGTCTCTGTTGTGGTGGCCCAGGGCCTGGCATGAGTGACCAGCTGGGAAACTGGGGATGGTAAGAGCTGTTTGAGCTAGCAGTACAGTGAGCAAATGTGAGGGGTGTCTTTGGAACAATTATTCCCATTACTTGCATGTTGCTCATATGGACTACGTGAGTGTTTCAGGTTAGATATTGCCAGGTTGTTAATTTCTCCCAGAAGTGTAAGTTTGTTTTAAAGTATGAACTTAGATTACACAATTTAGGGTGTTGTAAGATAAGGACAGTTCAACCTTCAGTTATTGTAGTAAATCCTAGTGCAAGGGCAGATGTGTTCCAAAAGTTTTTACCATGGCAGAGTGGCCAAAGGGAAATAATAATCTGATAAAGGAGTTGAAAGTCAAAATCCTTGCGATTTATCAGTTGCAGCAGTTTAGGTAGTGGCTTATTGATATGTCAGGGTTGATTCCAAAAGGCCATTCTGCTGAACAGCAGTTCAGTGGATCAGCCAGTACATAATTCAGTGCCTTGTTCACAGTTATGTAGAGAGAAATTTCTGATGCTTGAAGAGCTCTTGGCTATGAGCACAAGTGAGGAAGAGCAGGGGTAATGGTGTGCACTAGCAAACCACTGTAGCTTACTCAGCTATATGAAGAGAGTTTAGTGCTTTTAGGTGATTTATTGCAGTATGGTTGCAGCTATGCTGGTGTAAGGATATAAGTGAAAGAAGACTTGCAAGGGCAGGATAATATATCAGGATAATATATTGCTTTAATAGAAGATCTGCTTGTAAAACAGAACAAGATTTTGTGTACACCTAGTGGTCTGCAGGCTTGACATTCACATCTCTGCAGGTTGTAACAACAGAGTCCTGGAGGTTTTAGCCTGCTGCTCCACAAATCTTAGTGGGGTGGCAGAAGTTTGGTTGGCACTAACTTGGTGGAAAGCTTTTTATCTTAGTGCACAGTGGGCAGAAGGGACTTTAGAGATCACTCACTGCTTCAGTTTTGTAGAAAGTGCTTTGTGTATCTGCTTTGCTTATATGAGACACTGGAGGTGTGTCTGTGTACATACACAGCTGTGTGCAGAGATTAATCCTGAGAGATTCAGCCTTGCCTGACAAACTTACAGTTAATTCTGAGTGCATTTGGCTGCAGTTCCCTAAGAGGAGTGATTCAGTGCTCAGTCTGTGCTGTATCTGCTGCTGCCAGAGATTCCTGGTTATTTTATGTTAATTTTAATTGCACTTGCTTTTTCTCCAGTACATATGTGGGTTTTTTCTTTGTCATTCTCAATAAAGTGTAGTCACTCTCTTTTATCAAACAGTTTCTGTGCTTGTCTTCCCTTGTACATTCCCATGCTGAAAGCAAACAGGCATTTTTCAAGTAATAACAGTAGAGTTTATAACCTGTGAAAGCCATCTACAAACTTTTTTGTTGTGTTTCTTCAGTGGAAGCTTTTATGTGGCACTCTTGTAGTTGTCTTTGTATATGTATCTTTTTTTTCTCCATTTGATTTAGCCTATATTTATGTTAAAATAGTGTCTACAAAATAAAGAAAAATACAGCATATGGACAGCATTGAAATACACTAAGCCTTACTTGTAACTAGGTGCTAAGCCTTTGTGGAAGAAACTGGCACGGATGGTGGTTTGCCAACTTCTGTTTCTTTTTCCTTGAATTTAGGCCTGAAAAGTCCTTGATAACCAGTGGAAGCCTCTCTGTAAGCTTTTTGTACAATTAACCATGTGAGGAGCAAAAAAACCTAGTGTGACTATTCTGTCTGTACTAGATGTGGGTATACTGATATGGAGCTCAGGTATCTGAACTTAACTGCTTTAATCAAAACCCAGCATTATACTGTTTAGATTTCCTGAAAAATTTCTCTGGTAAGCTAAAGGTTGTCAACATTTTCAGTGTAGTTGGTGCTGAAACTGGGAGATTACCTCAGGAGCTGATGAGAGTCTGAAAGATACTTAGTTTCTTATTGTTAAATAAAGGAGGTGTAGCAGCTGCCTGGTGATTACTGGATAGAAAAAGGTCAGTTGGGATCAGCTGTCCTGGCTGGGTCTCCTTCCATTTCCTTGCTCACCCTCAGCCTCCTCACTGGTGGGGTGGGTGAGGAGCAGAAAAGGCCTTGGCTCTGGGTAAGCCTTGCTCAGTGATAACCCCTGAATTACTGCTGTAATACCTCTTAAATGGGACCCTCCTGCTAATCTGTAGGGGAGATTTGTTAAATTATGAATTAGATCCAAATGATTAGTCTGTAGTTGTGTCCTTGGGGACAAACAATCATGTGATGCTGTTGTCTTGGTAGTGCTTATAAAGAAAACCCAAGAGTACAGACCATTTGAAGAGACAACTTTCTAACTGTGGGGAACAGTTGGGTGCGTGTAATTTATGGTTTTTTAAAACATGTTATTTAAGCAAAGGACATTCCCTGTTAGTCACATGTGATTCTTGATGACTGTTTGCTTATTATTAGCACTTCAAAAACTTCCATCCAATTCCCCAGGATGCACAATGTAAAACAAGTGTCATCTAAATTGTCCCATATTGATAATTACCTAGAAAAAGACGTGGTGATGAAAAGAAGTTCAAGAGAGAAAAAGGAAAGCTAAGCACGAGAGGAGAGAAGAGAGGCAGATAGATGGAGATGAGGAACACCCCCCAAAGCAGCAGAAGGAACCAGCTGAAGAACAGCACTGGCCAGAGAATATGCCTGAATGGGAAGAAAGGAAATCCCTGCTAGCTCAGAGAAGAGTGGAGTCTGTCAGACTGCTTACAGTGCTGTTAAATCGTGTGAAAGTAAGACTATTTTAAAACGTATTTTAAACTTTTAAGGATATCTATTCGAGCTTGAATAATTCACTAGACATTTGATATCTTGATGCTGTTCAGGAGACTGCTTTGGGGCTGACTGGACACTGAGAAGGCCTGAGGTCCATGTCTTGTGACAGTCTGCTCTCAGTCTTGCCCTGAGAGCAAGCATAGTGCATTTTCACCCAGAAACTTTGCCTTTGGTGCTTTTTCAAGACCTTGTCTTTACTGAGTAAAAAACAGGGCTGGAAAAGCTGTTTTGGCTCTATTAGACTTGACCCAGTGTTGCAAGCAAGGAATTTAGGAGTGGAGACATAAGTGATACTCTCTTTGCTTGTTTTGGTCTCAGGTCTACAAGTGACTGAACTAAATTGGCACAGATTATACCCTTTGGATTTCTAATAGCCTCTTCTTTTTTCTTGGCCAGCACTCATTACCAGGCTTATTTGATTCAGATAATGTCTTGAGAAAGTCAGCAGTGAAGTACTAAAAATTTGAGTGTTTTGCACACAGATTAATGTTTGCAAGTTTAATTTAGTGCTTTGGGTAGAAAAGGTTTCAAATGAAAACAGGGGGTTTAATTTCTAATATGGCTTTGTCTCCACTATTTGCAAAGAAAAAATTGCAGCTTTTAACAAGTGTGTAATATAAACGATTTCTAAAGGACTGTAATTTACTATGAGTTGAAGTCAGAGGCTACCCTTGCCGTTCTGTGTGTGAATTTTAGGGCCCCATTACATCTGACATTTGCCTTCTTAATTACGAATCTGATGTGTTAAATAAATTTCTATTTTCTTGGTTTCACAGTTGGCAAGTCAAAAAGTGGATCCTTCACTGGGTGTAAAGAAGGACAATTCATTTCCTGAAACAGCATTTAAAGACATACAGCAGGAGCTGATTCACTCCCTTTACCGTACGCACAAAGAGCTGAAACGTGTGGAGTTTAAGTGCCCGCTAACTCAAAGAGGTAGTGCTTTATGCTGTGAGGAAGGAGATGTGAGTACCTTCCATGCACCTGCTTGTCACATAGTCAGGACAATTTTAAATGATGCCTCTGCAGCCCCGAGCTCTGATGGACTGCCTGGCAGAGATGTGTGCAACTCCCTGCTGATCACGGTCACCCAGCATGGCAGGGTCATCCAGCCTCTCCCTGCAAGGCACCACCCTGCACTGGACGTAGGTCACACCCACACAGTGTCTGAGCAAGATGATTGCAGAAAGCAAAAGGTTTATGAGACTGATGAATTCATCCATTATTTACTGAACTACTATCAGACACCACACTATGCACGTGTTTGCTTAGAGCCAAAAACCACTGTGAACAAGTCCCAGTGGAAACGAGTGGTGTCTGATGATGGTGGTGGGTTTGACAGCAGCTTGAGTAACAAACATGGTCAGCACTTCAGAGAATTGAGTCCTGTACAAAACCTCCACAAGAGAAATTGTAGCAGTGATAGTAATTACAGGCTGGTGATCACTCTTGGAGAATTTGAGTCAGCAGACAAAGTGTTAGAAAGCAAGGTCCGTGGGGGCAAGCTTGCAAAAAAGCTGCAGGTGCAGAGGAATGACTCACTCACTGTTGATACTGTACCACATGCTGGACTGAATCATTCTTTGGAGTGCACTACTGTTACTCATAATGAGGAATTCAAACAAGAAGATGGTAAAGATGAAGGCACTGTACCATATGGAACACGTAGATCTGCTTGCAGATTAAAGGATTTGCTGGAAGAGATCAGTGATTCTGAGTGCTTTAGAGAGGCATGTGGCGGCTCAGTGAAGAGAGCAGAAAGAAGGTATGAAGAAATTTACAGCAGTTGTAATAAAGGGTGCTTGTCTGCAAGAGCTGGGGAAAGAGAATTACTGGTTTGCCATAAAAATGTAGCTCTAGAAGGTCAAGAGAAGGAAATCAGCCAATGTAACTCCTGTTCTAATTCTGTCCATGAGGGCTTGGCAAGGCAGTGTGAACGTAAACTTAAAAAGTCATGCAAGAGGTCTAGTAGTAAATTAAGATATGAAGGAAAGAAAAGTGAGAGACAATCCAGGGAAAAGGAGAAAAATGCTCATAAAATGAAGAAAAAGCGAAAAAAGCTTTCTTCTAATCTTTTATCTGATGAATGTGGCTTTTCAGAGACGGACAGTTGCATGCAGCTGGAGTCGCTCAGAAAGATACGGAGAAAATGTAAGAAAATGTTGCACAAAAAGGTGAAATTCAAGACACATCACACCTCTATGGCTGCACCAGATGTTACCCCTCATGATGGCTCAGCCCTTCAGGAGACCCTCCAGAGGAGAGGTGAGAGAGGGGACACCACAGCTAAGGGGACTCAATTTGACAGCTCTGTGGCAGGTGAGGTTGCCACAGTTCTTACAGTGATGAATGGTTTTTGGTTTTAAGAGGTATAAGCAAGGCATAGAAAAACAGTGCAACTTCCCTGCAATTAAGGGTTTGTTCAGTTTAGCTCTGAAAGACACAGCTGCAGCTCAAGAGTAATATTTGTCTAATTAACTTAGCACAGTATTTGTCCTGGGCATTAGCAGGTATTGGTTATTCTGGTAACAACATGCTTTAGACAACTAAAACAGTGATAGACAATTCAATGTGTGGCACAGCTGTGTAGGAAGTACTGTCTCAGGTGAGTAGATTTTTACACAGCTAAAATACATCTGATTTTCATACAGGATTGCTACTGGCTGTTCTTACAGCCTTTTTTACAATTTGCTGTGCTTCCAGTTGGTTGGTGGATACCCTTACAACCTGACAAACTCATTTCAACTTTTTCTTATCTACAGGAGATGAGAGGAAATTAATGTTGAGAAGAGAGATGGATGCAGATGTCAGAGGATGCCCTCTATTTCCTCTTGAGATAATTCAGACAAACCCCTTCTCAGATACTTTCTGTGGAGGAGAGCCCAGAAGAGGATGTTGAACAGCTACTGTATTATAGCTCTGAAGTTTTTATTAACAAGTGGGAGAAGAAAGCCCTTTGATCATTAAACGAAATATGAACTGCTGGGTTGGTTTTTGATTTTTTTTTTCTTACATCATTCCTTTGGTTAGAATATCTAACTGGTGTAGTGAGCCACAGAAGCAGAATTTGTGTTTGCCTTTTGGATAACTTCTGGACCAAAACTTTCCCCAGAGCCAGAACAAACTTTCATGGACTAGTGGCTAAAGAACTTGAAAGGACACAGACTGAGATCTTGGAGCATTACACTTTGATGGAATGCAGAGAATCATGTAAATTACAGTATTTATTAATAATGAGTCATTGGGAAAAAACCTAATTTTCAATCCTAGAGCAAGCATATGAAGTGCCTCCTCTATCAGATTGTTATATTGGTGGGACTGGAAGGTGTGGGGGACATTTATACTCAATTTTGAGAAGTAATAGATTTCCAAATGTGAAAAAGGTCCCATCTTCTGTAAAACCCACACTAGAAGAATCCTTGTTTTCTATTCACAATTCTAGAGGTGTTTCTGAAAACTTGCTGCCTTTTGGGAGGATTTCACTGAACTTATGCTCAGTGTAGTGCTCCCAGGAATCTGAATGGCTGTCTAAGCAAAGCTCTGGGTGTTAGATAATGAAATGGCAGTGCATCTCAGCCTGCTGACAGTCCCCATGTAAATGCAGTTGACAGTTCACAAGATTTTGAAGGCACATATAGTGAGGTAGCTGTTTAGTATGAGTTTGCCTACAAATGCTTTCCAGAGGAATTGTGAAATGTTGTCAGAGTTGTGCTGCATGTAGATAAAAATGGGAAAATGCAGTATAGGAGCTTGAATTATATCCATATTTATTCATCTGGCTATATCTAGAAGACAGCCACAATTGCTTTTGGACAAAGTCCCTTAGCAAGGTACAGAGTTTGAAGTTCAATACACTGATTATTACAGCTTTCTTTTTATTATGCTTTATTTATTACATGTCAGTAGATGAAGTTCATGTGAAAATGTTGCCTTCATTACGTAAGATCTTACCCATGTTTGTAAATTCTGCTCTAATAAATAGTAATAAAAATGAATAATTGTAATTGTTTGTGGTAGATAGGTTTTCTCCCAGTCTTCAATACTGGTGATTCCTACAGGCTTCTAAGCCAGGTTTTATCAGTCTTTCTGTTCATATGTTCAGATGTCGAGTGCCTTTTCAGGGTCATAAATGACAAATGGTTGCTACTCAAAGTACTGTTAATCTATTCCTTTTATCTAAAAGAATGTTATTTTCTTGACAGAAATATTTTCTATTTTGGAGAACCTTTATGCCCCTCTTAAGTCCCCCCCTTTAGTATTTTATACAGTTATAGTGAAGAGGGACTATTGTAACACGTTACAAGCGACCATGTAAAATGTTTTCAGTTGCACTGATGTGACATACCAAGGGTGTTTTTTCTCTATGCAATATTTGCAGATTAAAGATAACAAAACTTCCCCCCTGTCAATCTATAGACAGTTTTGTGTCCATGAGTACCCATTTCCCATAAGACAGGCTTTTGGTGACAGGTGAGAAAGTATTTCTTTTTGTTAATCTAGGGGAGAAGGAACTAAAGATTTCCTTCAGTGTAAATTTCTAGTGTTTTATCAACATGCTGTCACAATAACCAATAACAAATAAATACTCAATTCCTGTAATTGCTTCAGGGATTCACCTGTACTGACTGAAACTGACAGAGGATTTGCTTTGTCTCCCAAGTCCTCATTCCATGTAAAGCATTGTAAGTTAATAAAATATGCATGCACTTTAAAATGTGAGACATCATTGTAATCTTCATACCCAAAGAGAACTTCTGTGTTTCCTATTTGACATTTTTTAGAACCTGACTTCAGGTGTTTAAATAATAATTTAACTTTTCACAAAATCATAGAATGGTTTGGATCAGGACCTTAAAAACCATCTTGTTCCAACCCCCATGCCAAGGGCACGGGCACCTTCCACCTGCTCCAAGCAGTGTCCAGCCTAGTCTTGAACACTTCCAGGGATGGGGCACCCAGTTTCCTCTGGCAGCCTCTGCCACAGCCTCACCACACTCACAGGGAAGAATTTCTTTTTCCTGTCAGCACATTTAATATGAGCCCCACCTTTTCATACACTGGTCTGCTTAATATGATTTTATTATCCTGAAGGCTAATCTTTAAAGATATATGTAACAGCTTGCTTTAAAACTTTTAAAATGCATGGCTTTGTAGATTGGATTTTAGTTGTTATAAATGCCACATCCCACATATGAAAGTTACAGAATGTTTTGGCAATGAAAACAATTATTAGATGAAAAGATGCATTAAAAACAGCATTTATATAGTTCAGCAATGGAAATGTAGAACATTTCTGGTATACTTTCACATCTTTCTGTTTGAACCTGATGTGTGCTGTTGTGCCCAGCTGCTGTTTCAAGAGGCTGGATGCTTTTTATGGAAATGCTGTTTACTCTGACATGTATGAAGTTGGGCCTGAGACTGCAGATCTTGCCATCAAATCTAATTTTCTGTACAGACCTAGCGAAAATGCCTCTTCATAGAGCTGGTATGAAGAGAAGTGGGCTGAACACTGCTTTGTTACTGAAAGTTTGTGACCTGTGGGTTGTACCTTGTGCTGAATGCTGAAGCCAAAATCCTACATGCTGGTTTGAAAGCAGAATTACACAAGGCCCATTATTAAATCAGTCCATCTGCTTGAAATACAATACAGCAATTATGATATAAAGCTTTTTCTTGTTAATCCAGGGATTCCAGGCAATGCATAGAAATGCCTCACCTTTCATAAAACCCCTTACGTAATTTTCAACAGAAGCATTCAGTACTGAACTTCTTTTTGTTTAACTGAAACAGCAGGAAGTAAGAACTAATAAAGGTGAGTACAGGCAGGTGAAGCCCAGGTGAAAGAATATCTGAATTTTACAAAGCAGTTAAGAGTATGGTTGAAAATCAGATATGACTCAATTGTTTTGATTTGTGCTGGCAAAGATCTTTGTGACAGGTGTTGGACACGTCAGAGGAGGGAGATTAGTGATATTGTCTGCCTTGAATTGGTCATCCTGTCCTGCCTGGTTAATGTACAGCCTGATGAGCTGCCTGGCATGGCTCTTTTTGCATAGTCATTGCTGCCAGTCACTGTTGAAGGAAGGGTTCAAATTGTAATGAACAGACTAAAAAAGAAGTGAAACCCATCCATTTTCTTCAGCACTTTGGAAAGAAGTAAAACCTGTGCCTGCTGCTTTATGAGCAGCTTTTGTGACACACTTCTTCTCCTTTCACAAGAAATTCTCTGCTTTCCTTGAAAAAGTAACAATCCTACCATCGTTTCATACCTCCTCCCCAAGAAGTATTAACAATGAAAAGAATGAGCTTTTCTTGTGTTACTGCATGTTTTCTGCATCATTTTTGTTGCTATTTCTCTTTGTGATGCATAACGTTCTGATGTACAGATTAATCCTTAAAATAGTTTTTAGTTCCTCAGAAGATGTTACAGAGTAACTTTAGAGTCAGGTGGTTGGGTCCACTTAAGGGAGGTTACAGACTTCCAAAGCTCCAGCTTTTGCTCAGTATTAACAATTACGTGGGGGTTTTTTCTGCAATAGAGCACATTCTCTATTTAATATTCTGTCAAAATTTTACTAGCAAACAGCATTTACAAGCATTCCATTAGAACATATTTTACTCAATCTATGCATTGGATAATGTGACAGATCAGAGAAAGACAATATAATACTTGAAACGTTAGGGGAGTATTAAATATAATAATAAAATATAACATTTGGTTGCAGTAAATAAAAACAAACTCCACCATTATGCAAGAGTATTTTATTTTCTGCCTTAAACAAATAAAAGCACATTTCCAATTTGAGGTAAACCATTAGTAGTAGTTTGCAAAGAGTATAAATGTCTCTAAAAATAAAACAGCAACACAAAGGTCATGACAAGGCCTATGTGTGTCTCCAGACCTTTGTCAGGTAGTTCATACAGTACCACTTTAGACAACTCTGGCTCAAACAACCTTGCTCTTCATTGGAAGGCCCAGTGCAACCAAAAGAAAATCCCAGGACGGTGTTGGGACTGAGGGAGAGTCAGTTGTTCTCACCACAGATGGTCTCAGGCACTTTAACATGTTGTGTCAACTCGTTTGTGAAAGCTGCTGTTGTGCAACACACTCTACTTCTGAACACTTCTGCCTAGTTTGCACCTACACCCAGGACTCAGTTCCTCATTTTGGGCATGTTGCCAAATTGAAACAACCAGACAGTCGAGTCAGAGAAATGAAACAGAGGGAACTACACCAGACAGGCACCCTGGAGATTCTGCACTTGCAGAATCAGCAGGACAAGAAACAAGTTCACATGTGATCAGAAAATCATTAGTTATCTTGGAATTTATAAGTTTTATGGAAGTACTTTGGATGATGAACATTCACATTTTTCCTTGGTCATATCCATTTATCCAGCCCTCTCTGGTAGGAGGGAGGTAATTTAGAAAAAAACCTAACAATTAAGCATAGAGGTAAGCCAAGAGAGCAAATAAGTAAAAAGCAACTTAGAGGTCAGGTCCACAGGTATAGCACTGCTGGTTATGCATGAGATTGTGTCATTTCTTTGAATGGCAACATTCCAAACCAACAAAGGCCTCAATGCAGAAACAGCTTACACTGTTTTATTTTGTACAGGAAACTCATGTAAGTTACATTGACCAGTAATGTTTTTCTGCTAGGTAAAGGTGCATGTACAAGAACACTTGCTAATCATGCCATACCAGCAACTTCTTGTTTTTTAGGCCTAGGAATCAAGAGCAGCTGATCTTCCATGTTTAATATAATTCCATTAACATTCATAGGAGCACTTTTTGCTGAGAAGAAAATCAAATGAACAATAGTCAAGTCACACTCCATGGTGTACCTTTAGGGATGCCTAGTTCCACTCATTATCTAAACTTTTGTAACACTATAGATGTGCTTTAAAAGTGAACAGACAATATTAGTCTATGCAGAATTATGCATGTTGAATACATCAAGCATTCATCAGTCTTTATTAAATACTTAAAAGTGATTTAACCTCACAAAAATTCTTAATCTTTTTTAAAAGCAGTTAGTGTTTCATCTGTAAGTCACTAATGCAATGACTCAAAAGCCAAATTATCTCACATAATAATGAATTACACTGCACAACAAATGAGTATGATGCTTTGTGAACAAAATATAGTCCCTTTTCTAAAGGAATTACAACCCAGGTAAGATCTGCCAGATCCTGCAGAAGCTAACACAAAAGAAGATTTAGTGGTGTTTGTGTTGCATATGTGAAGTGAGTCATGTGCTTGTCTCCACAGTGATAGGTTGGTAATGAAAAACTTGATTCCAACCTCCTTTGCATTAAATGGTGATAGCAGGAAAACAGTCCTTTATTGCCAAAACTGCAGTTTACTTTTGCACAGACATTTGCCATGCATACTTATTATGTGGGTTTAAAGGAAGACAGATCATAGACCTTCAGAAGCTTCCCACTGAATTTGAAAAAGAAATCTTTGAAAAACCATTCACTGTACCTCTGGACCTTTTGTAAACCTTGCTGCTGCTGCACCTTGTGAAACAGAAGTGGAATGTTACAAATGATCCATTGTGGTTCAAAAACAGATTGTTCCACACTGCAGTATCTACTCTTTCTTTGCATCCTGGGCATCTTTCTCGTCTTCATCAGAGTACACGGTGGGTTCCTCCCCCTCCTTCAGCAGCTTACCAACATGATGGTACTTAACTGGGGAAAAAAAAATCCAAGTAATTTTCTGCCCTGAAGAGACACGTTTATAAACTCCTCCAACTGTTTCCTGAATGAACAGGATGACTATATTTCAATAAAACAGCTCTGAGCAACTTGTTCCAAACACTGGGGGAAAGGAGAAAAGCTAAAATCAACTACTACCTGAACTACTATTACTGCTGTCATAAGAATCACGTGAAGTAAATGTAACTCTCATTTTATTGCCTAAACCAAAGATGAATAAACATAAACTGAGGGAGTCACCTAGCCAAGGAAACAGAATCCTGGATTAGATTATTTCTCTTGCCAATGTTAAAACCAAAGGCATTGTTAGAATACTTACATTATTAAACATGCACATATGTATGTGCACACATATACACAACCTGGAAGGGGTTTTATTTTTTGTAATGTGTATTACAAATATTCAATAGGACAGAAGGGAGATAATTTCTCCCAAAGATAGAGATGGGTCTGTTATCCGATTATGTGATTAAGCCTCTGATTTATTTTATATCTCCTTTTGAGCATGTAAAAATGCCAAGACATGTAAGGACTGAGAGCTATATTATGTTGCCTGTCTGTCAACTTCAACAAAGCAAAAGAACCCCCTGATTTCAGGTATTTCAGACTAGCAACGTTGTTATAAATACTTAAAACAACTATTTGCCATATTTAATAGGAACACAGTAATAAAAAGAGTGGACTTCACTGTCAGTCCTGATGCTCAACACTTGTAAAGGTAGATTTTAACACTAGCTCAAGTCATATATTTGATAGCACAGTTCTGGTTTCTGCAACAAGCTTGTTAGCATAATAAACCAGCCATTCAGTGTGGTGTGATTAACAGTCTTAATTAAAACAGGAAGAAGGCCAAAATAGTAGGGGCACATCAGGTCAGGATGGAGATTTCTAATGACATCATGTGGAGAAAACTCCATTGCAGCTGGTTATAGTAAATCTTTCAACACTAGATTTAAAAGGAAAACACATTTTATTTACACTATACTGGTAACTGGTGGACTGGTGTATGCAATTTCCATCACACACATATATATATATATATATATATATATACATACATATATACACATATATTTTATATATATATTATATATATATGCATATATATACACATATATATTATATATATATATTATATATATGTATATATATGATGCTTCCAGCTGGTTACAGCCTTTTAACTATTGCTTCCCCTATTACCAGTTAATTCCTTCTTTGTAAATAGGTTTAAAATTGCTTACAAGTGAACTGTGACTCCCAGTCCCTCAAGGTCTCTTGCTGTGTAGCATTGAGGTCAGAGAGGTCATCATAGGTGTCCCTCAGTGCTTCCTTGTCCAGGCAGAAGGTGGCAAGGCCTCGGGATGCATCTCTTCCAGCAAAAATCCCATATGGGCCCTCTTTGAAATAAAAACATAAGCAGCATTATTGCAGAGGCAATGGAAGCTATGTTATCTTCATGGATCAGAGTCCCCAGACTAAAACAGATGATGAGCTTCTACCCTGAGCCATGCATCACGTGCCTCAAGCTTCTGAAATGCTTTAAGGTTTTATTCTAATTGGTAATAAGAGAAAACAGAGGAAGAGGACAAGAAACAAAATAACGGAGAAGGATACCACTGAGGTTTGCTGAAACATCAGGACAATGAACCACACAGTGGTGCACAGCACATATAAACAGGGTAAGGATAAGCATACAGACTGGGACACACATTCTTAGAATAAGGAACGGAGGAAGGATGTCTATGGGGTGAAATCAAAGTTTCTAATGGATACTCCTGACTGGAGATGAAAGGATGGCTTGACAGAAAATATAGTGGAGCTTCGAGAAATTACCAGGTTGGAGGAAACATCTATTAAAACAAAATGCAAGATGAACTCAAATGACCAAAACATTTAACTCACAGCAGATAAGAGAAATCAAGATAAACTCTTGCTAAACTTCATTAATGATTGACTTGCTTGCATGACAAGCCAAAAATTGAGATACTGCATGTTCAACTAGACATTCAAAGTTCTTCTAAAGGGAGCTTAAAGAAGTTAGATATGAACTCTGGTTATTGTAGAGCACATGCCAACTTCCAGAGTGTGCTTTTTCCTAAATTAATCAAAAGAATCTTACTTTTCCATTAAAATGAAAATCAAACTAGCCAGACATTATGGTGAGCCATTCAGCAATTACCAAATCAGATGCAACAGACAGCTTTTACTGTCATCAAAGAAGGCAGCATCTAAAGCTCGGACCTTACGTCAACTGGATTTTAGGTTGCACAAACACAGAACTGCACATCTAACTCACTGTGCATATCATCCTGACTGCTGCAGAATGCAAAGTTACAGCCTGGCATCATTCAGTGGCAGTCTCGTCTATGTTTGGCCCAAAAGCTGTAACTGATAACACTTCCAAAAACGTGGTGTCTCCTGCATTTTTTTCCTTGTCTCTTAAGTAGCACTGGCAGCTCACTACTGCAGCTACCAGGCTGTCTGGACAGCTCGAGAGTGGTTATGCCAGGCAGAACCTGGTACAAATCAGCAAGCCTCAGTGAGCAGTTTTAACAGGCAGCCTCTGATAAAAATAAAACCCCATGGCCTCGTGGAGGTGATAAAACTCCTTCATCTGGGTGCACGTAGTCCCACCCACCTCATCATTGGCTGCTCTACGAGCATAGGTTATTCAATCTTTGCACGTTTGAACTATGCTCCTGGTAGAAAGCTGGTTTAATCTAAATTGCCAACTATTTAGTACAAATATTATGCAATAGAGCGATACACACTAAAAGTTGGGAATGGAATGTCAACACCGAGAGAATACTTCACTTCTGCTGCCTGCATTTAGGCAAAGGCGACCCAGCCCCACAAAGCCACCCAACCTCTCATGGTACGTGTAGATCGCCATGGGAGAACACCGAGAATAATGAAACTACG